CAGAACATAAAATAACGATGCAGGAAGTCCATAGAACACCAAACAGAATTGACCCTAAAAGGAAACCACCCTGACATATAAAAATCAAACTCTCTCATATTAATAGTAAGCAAACACTCCTGAAAACTACATGGTGCAACAGAACAACTACATTCAAAGGCCAAACAATCAGGATAAGTTCAGATTTTTCCACTAAAACCATTCAGGCAAGAAGGCAATAGGATGACATGTTAAAAATACCGAGAGAAAAACATTGCCAACCAAGTATCCTATATCCAGCAAAATTATCCCTAAATATGAGGGGGAAATAAAAACATTCACCGACAAGGAAAAATTAAAGGAATTTACAAAATCTTGGCCACCTTTACAGAAAATATTAAAAGGAATTCTATGGACAGAAAATCTATAACAACAACAGACAGCAACGAAAACTATTAGAAAAGAAATTATTATGGAGTAAACATTCTATGGAAGCAACCCTCAAAGTACAGTGGAATGAAAGAAATTAAGACAAGGAACCGCAGACAACATCGCATTCTCAAGGGGAACCCCGATAAGAGCAGTAAATACTCACATGGAGGAGATGCCGAGCAGTTTACAAAATGCAGCAAGCAATCTTGAAATTGAGAAGAAAACCACAAAAAACAACCTACAGAGAAAAATTAAAGCTTCAACAAAACAGACAAGATGAGAACTACATATGCAAAATGAACAGTAAGATAAAGACAAAAAAAGCAAAGTTACAAAAAGACAACCCCAAACAACAGGGACACAGCGTGAAAAATCACCCTACAAACTAAAACCATAACACCATAAAAAAGTAACAAGATGACAACAAAACCATATTTATTAATAACAACACTGAATATAAACCAACTGAATTCACCAGTTAAAAGATAAAGACTAACAGAATGGAGAAAAATCATTAATCTTTCATATGCTGCTTATAAGAAATACACTTTAGATATAGAGATAAACATAGACTGAGAATCAAAGGATGGAAAGAAATATATGAAAGACCTAAATATAAATCACACAGTTATTAAGACCATTAATGGAAAAATAGGGACAAACTTAGAGAGTCTAAGAGAAGGCGTAAACACACCTAACATAATGAAAAATGTCCATACCGTAGAACACAGCAAAGATCCCAGACGCTATTCCTTCTAATAACCACTCACCATCTGGTTTCTTCACCAATCAAGTGCCCTCCTAATAATTCCCTTATTTTTCCTTCTTTCCAAGACAAAAATCAATATATACCTTCAGAAAACCCCAAACCTAGCTGTTTGGCTGCGAACAGATAGCCACTGCTGTTTCTGTGAACCCTTTGATAGCTAATGGTCTTTCCTGTGTTTTGCTCACCACGGGCCTTTGTTCTGGCCTTGGACTGCAGGCAACAGCCTCTGAAGACAGACACTGTGCTGTCCAGTCCTGACCTGGCCTTGTGGACACTTGTCCTTGCCAGCTAAGATGTGAAGCAGCTAAGGTCCAGCAAGGACTGGGGGCACTGCCATGTGGACCATACAGCCTCATGGTTGGCTTCTTTTCGTAGTGGGTAATTCTCCATCAGTGCCTATTGGGCTATCAAAATAACGGTCTTTAACTGGCTCACGCGGGCCCAGAGTATTTACTGAGTGCTAGGGATGCTACTCACCGGAGGGAGAATCAGGCTCACAGCTGTTGGAAAGCCAAGGAGGTATCAGAGGCCTGCATTCCTCAGAATTGTTTTTCTGTATGGAATATGCCCTTAGTGGTAATCAATATAATCCCGAGACTAGGGATCATTCTTTGTCAAATTTGTTTAATCCGTTTGTAAGTGAAAGAAGTCTGGTTGTCTGTGTGAGATTTGTATGTAGACAGTAATGCATTTTCATTTGATTGCTTTTATAGACATTTCCAAACATTTCAGTCAGAAAGCTACAATAGAACATGAACTTCCAACAGCAACACAGAAGCTTATAACAACCAATGACTGTATCCTGTCGTCAGTAGTGGCATTAACAAACGGAGCAGGAAAGGTAATTTTTCTTTGGGTTCACACATCCCTTGCGCTGGTGTGATGGCTCTGACGGGCTTCTCGGGGGGGCCCGGGGCTAGTGCATGCGCACCTGCTCTCTCACAGTCCTGGAATCGGAGCACGCACCGATGGCCTCTGCTCTTTGTGGGACCAGCCCCGCATGCCCTACTCGCTGCCCGTCCTCAGCACCACGTGGCATACTTGGGTGCAGGTCAGCTATCTGGAACTCCGCTACCCTCAGGCCCAGCCACACACTGCCCCAGAGCAAACACCGTTTCAGTGGTTAATTTTCCAACGACCAGGGAACTGCCAAACGCAATCCTGGCTTCTTGATTGTGACTTATACTTTCACTATACAAATATGATCAAAAGTAACATTTTCAGACCGTTGAATGCAGTTGAATGAAGCCGAGGCTGACTTGTGGAAATGCCGTAAGACATGGGT